TGCATACACACGTCTTTACTTATAGTTTTGGTATCCATGTTTATCACGTTCATTTTAGTCTTTTATCCACCGATCCGACCAATTGGATTCCGGCCATTTCCGGATTACCAATTCGAGTCGTTCCGAGGGTTTTACTTACCGTGAAAGGATTCTGTTCAAGTTCAGTAAGGTTCGGATAGGAAACAGGTCAAGGTTGATCGGGTATGGGGTCAGTTGCATCGGAACTCGTTCGATCCGACGATACGGACCAAAAAGGGGTGAGAGAGACCTGGACCGGACGGCCTGCACGATCTGGACCGGACTGTCCGCGTGGTCTAGTCCCGACGACCTGGAAGAGCTAGACCAAACGGTCTGAGGGTTCCGGAATGGACGGTCCCCACACCAAGACCGGACGCTCTAGACTCATCTTCTTCCTCGTGGTTCTGCAACCCTAGAACGGACGGTCCTGGCCTGGACCTTTCGGTCTCGGCGAACCAAGAACTTCATGATCCAATTTTTCGCACCAAACTAATCAACCTATAGCTCAAAACAATCTAGGGAACTTCAGAAACTCAAATCTAAGCTCAAACATGTACAAGTCGCACTCAAAACACACAAATATCCATTTCCAATTTGATTATCATTGTCGAATTTAATTCGAAACACTCACCTAAGTTGATTTTGAGCTTGGGCTTTGTTGCTAAGGTTTCCTAGGGTCGATTCCTTGATTTTCCAGCCATTTTCCCTGCAAATCGGGCTCCAATTTGTGGATTTTCGGTCAGAGCTCGCAAGAACGGGAGAGAATGTGAGGGTGAGGGTGTGGCGAGTGGGAGCGGAGTGGGGAGAGAGTGAAGCTTGTGCAAAAGAGGTTGGCCGCCCCTAGGTCAAGCAGGAGGTATCACTTACCGGGGAAACCTCGGAATTGCGGCGATGACTCAACAAGAAGAAGAGGCGGCGCACAAATTGGTCTCACCTCGTCAGACCAGACGGTCTAGCTTCCCCAGACCGGACGGTCTGCCTTACCCAGACCGGACAGTCTGGCACTCAAACCCGATGGCCTGACGTATTTCGTCACTTTTTCTCGCTCGATTCGGTCCAAACCTTTGAATTGGCTTGGCTAAGTTGGATTCTATGTTCTCGAGCCGTTTTCCGGGACCTAAACGGTCTTCTATGGTTTGGTGCAGAGAAGAAAAATTCATGGGATGTTATATTCAGTCGGTCTAGCCGATCTTCTTCTCCCTTCCTCTTCTTTGTTCGGCTTGGTTGTTCTCTGCTAGATCGATTTATCTAAGCGGCTTCATGTCGTGGTCTATTCCTCGTTTGATCCTATTAGCGAAATTTAAGGGCTTAACGCTCAATCATCTCATTTCCATTGATCAAGCATGATTAATTTCTGTTTATATTTCTTTAGTCCTTTTACCGAAACTCGAGGTGTTACACCGAAAATCTTCAATTCCCGAATTCGAATCCGAGATGTTGTTTCTTCATATGGGCGGAGATTGATCTCGAAGCTTCTCATCACCGATCCGGAGAACCGTATCTCGATTCCAGTGATCATGCGAACTTCATGGTTCCGCAAGAACTTTTCTTTTTGGTTTAATCGACAAGAACTTATCTCCCCCAATCTCTTTCAAAATCGACGGACCAATATTTTCGCAGAGCAACAACAACGAAGAAGGAGATAAAGCCATGAAGAAGCAGTGGCGTGGAATCCAGGGAGAAGTCTTACTTACATATAATGCATAATAATTATGGGTTAGTGGGCTAATGAATAGTTTGACCCTTTTTTTATTTTTATTGATGGTATAATGAATAATGATTAATGAGAGAGTTAATAATTTTATTTTGGGAAAATTCCAAAAAAAAATACTGAAATTTTCAATTTTGACAAAAAAATATTGAACTTTATTTTTTATCAAATAAACATTAAATTTTTTAAATGAATCTAAAAAAAACACTGAATTTTTTAAGTGATCCAAAAAATACATGAACTTTTATGGGATTATAAAAAAAACACTTAACTTTTTTAGTGATCCAAAAAAATACATGAACTTTTTTCAATTGTAAAAAAACTAAGTAAAATAATATGACGTGTTCGCATGTCCTTATGACACGTCAGTCATTTTGTTTATTTTGACAGTCGTAGAAGAGTCAAGTGTTTATTTTGTCAAACTTAAAAAGTTTAATATTTATTTGATAAAAAATAAAGTTCAGTGTTTTTTTGTCAAAATTGAAATGTTCAGTGTTTTTTTTGGGATTTTCCCTTTTATTTTTTTAATTAATATAAATTTAAAAAATGTCACATAGATACTGATGTGTCATCATCAAAACTCTTTAAATCTTATTATTTATGTATAAACTAGGTAATAACCCGTGCGCATCGCGCGGTCTAAAAATATATATAGATTTTAATTAATTTGATTATTAGTTTTAAAGTTACATAAAATATATTTTAATCTTATAATTTATATTATTAAATTTAATGAGAATTTTTTGAAAGTATCAAGATAATAGGATGATATACCAAATATAGATAGCTCGGTTAGTAAGTGGAGACTCAAAAGAGTCGTCCACCCAAATTTGACACCATATTGATTACCAATTATCATAAAAAAAGGATGATATATATTTTGTTAAATATAGATTGTGAATATTTTCTGTGTTTATATTTTTATAGGTTATAATATACATTTATATTATAATAGCAAATGTATTAACCATATACATCACGTGGACTAAAGTTATATATAAATTTTAAATAATTTAATTTTTAGTTTTAAATTTAAATATAATATATATATTTTTTGAATTTATAAGTCATATTTTTAAATCAAAATGCAGAATGTTTTTGGAAAGAGTCTAGTTAACATAATGATACAATTTTTCGAAGGTGGATTGCGAACAATTTAATCGGGTACATAATTATGTAATGAACAAAAAATAAGAGAAAAGAAATATCGGGGAAAGTAATAGTATTTGTATGGTAAATTTTATTAACATGAAATTGTATGACATGAAAAATATTATCTTATAAATTATTTTATATGTTTTAGGATTATCTTTTCATTAAAAAGGACAATAAATTTTTATTTGGAAAGTAATTTTGTTGAGTTACTACAATGAACTATATGTTAAAATGCTAAAATATAAAATATTATATGTAATGCATGGATATATTAAAGAAAATAAAAATAGGATAAGAAAAAGAAAATGAATTGTAGACTTTCTTTAAAGAACTGAAAATTTCGGTGTAAAATAATCAATTTTGAATAAAAATTAAAACGAAACAAGATAGCGTTTCAAATTTCTTTCTTTAAACCCATTATAACCCAAATATCTATCCCCAGATATAATGACGTTATAAATTCACCTTTTATCACATGATGTCCCTAAACCTATACATACAATTGCAATCATGTGGATGAATCTATATATATATACATATTTGTGAGATACTTAAATATAAAGAGTTTTTTTTTGTAACGGAGGGAACCACCACGACCCTTCGGATCAGAGTAAACCCACTGGTCTTATGCAAAAGCCTACCAACTACGCAAAGAGCTTTTGTTGTTATAGTATCTGGCTTTAGGTCTCTTTATCTCCCCAACACATACAGTCTTCGTAAATTAATAAACCAAATTGAATACTTACATACATGGACAGACCCAACTTATAAGGTATGGGGACATAGGCCCCAATTGTTTTTATTAAAAAAAAAATTTCATTATAAATTCTATAAATTTTATATCAATTATGTTTTCGTATGCCCCCATTAAAAATTAAAGTTTGTCTTGGAGATTATACAAAAATTATGTTGTCCCCATTGATAATTTTCTCTAGATCCGTCCCTGCTTACATAATTATAATTGAATCAAATCGAATATTAAAATAACAAAAGTAATTGATACATATTTTTAAAAAAATTATTTTTATCATTGAAATTTCAAATAAAACACAATTGATATAAAATTTCTAAAATTGGTAGAACCAATCCAAATAAAATCAAACTAAAATAGAACTGAAAATCTAAATTCGCACCTTACCTGATAATCTTTTTCAGGCGAAACGTTTTGTTCATCTTAGTTGTTCACATACAATTTCCTATCACCATCAATAAGAGATCATATATAACCAAAAAAAATATTATACAATATTTATATGTCAACTTCTATTTTTCGACAGTGTTTGAAAGTTCCTGTCAAACTTCTCCAACATTAATATATCTCTTGTCTTCTTCGTCAGAATTGGCCATTTTTGCTTCCACCATCCCTTCCTCTTCGTAAACGGACGATTTACCAATCAAATATAAAAAATAATTTAAATCTACGGTGTACTTTGAATCAATTGTATTTTGATTTCACAAAAAAATAAATACAGAGCTTTAAATATAATTAGACCTTAATTATTAGTTTTAGTATATGAAGAATTTAAAAAATATATATAATACTTGTCACTTTCTTGTATAGGAAATATACTTGTGTATATATATGATCGTAGACACAATAATATTGCAACAATTAAAGATTACTAACAAAATATATACCTATCAAATTATATAAAAAATGATTTATAATCAAGATAACTAATCTGGCAATATATATGCAATACCCTTTAACTACTATTCCAACTTCTGATACTAACCTTGAAACAAAAAGTTAAACAAAAAAGACTCCTTATCATGGCAAATGACACAAAAACCCCCAAACATTTATGAATAGACCAAAAAACCTGATAAAATTGAAAAAAAAAACTGAAAGAAAAAAAAATAAAAGAAGACGCAAATCGTAACGTCTCTCTCTCTTTCCTCAGTCACGTCTTCTCTCTCTCCTCACTCACATTTCAGCACTCTCTCTCTCCGATAACTCGCGATATTCCTCAGTCACATCTTCTCTCTCTTTGCAAATCGTAACGATTTTCACTCGAAACCGCCGAACCGTTCAAGTGGTTGTGCCCTAAATTTCATTTTCTCTCAGCGCTCTCTCTTTGGGGAGACAGAAGAAGCAACGTGCGACTTCGAAAAAATGGCAAGTTCAGGGTCTTCCTCACATTCTTCGACCGAAAGTGAGAGCCGTATGGAGATTTCGGAGTTAGATGAACACAAGGTAAGTTAACCTTCAATTTCTTTGCAAATTTGTTTGATTTTGAGATGTGTTGTTGTTCGATTGAAGTGTGGATTGGGAATTTGAAGGGTAGAGCATTAGGGTTTTGGGCATTTTTGAAATTTGGGGATTTCAAAATAGAATTTTGGTTTGAAACTTTATGGTTAAAATCGAGTGAGATGGTTGAGTTTCGGTCACAATGGATGAGTTTCAGTCAAATAAGACAGTGATATAGGACATAACACGGTATGAGTCGATGGATGTGTAGATTGTCATGAAGAATCGGATGACCTAAGGATTCAAATGCTATGGTCTCACGGTCACAGTCACAAAGGTCATAGTGTCACATGTTTGTGTAGTCACTAGGTTACTGTCTCAAAGGTCTCAGTGTCACATGTTTATATAATCACAAGGTCATAGTCTCAAAGGTCACAATGTTTGATATTTTGCAAGCACCATATATCTACAAACTTGATCAAATTCAGTTCTATCCGAAGATAAATACGAGATGTTACCCGGCTGAGACACTGAAGAAGCTGAAAGACCTACTAACAAACGAGGAATGGATGTACTTTAGCAAAGAGTCACAGTTTCAGCATCTGTTTCACACCAAATTCGAAGAGACACTGAAGATGGCACCTACTGTATTCCTCATCAACCACGCAGTGTTGGTCGAGGACAATTGCGAGCTATGGTTTGTCATCAATGGAGTGCCCATCAGGTACTCCATCGTGGAGCACGCCCTGATATCGGGATTGAAATGCGGTGAATATCCGCCAGGGTGGGAGTACAAAAGGAAAGATAAGTTTAGACTGAAGATGTTTGGGAATCGGAAAATGTCTAAGCAAAATGTTCTTACACAACTTGAGAAGACGCCAATCGCTAAGGTTGCTGATCGGAAGAAATTAGCCATGGTGATGATACTCGGAGGGATTCTGGACCATGGCACCACAGAAGATAGTATCAACAATGATTTAGTGGACATGGTGAATGATTTGGAGTTCTGTGAAAGGTTTCCGTGGGGATGATATACATTTGACAAGATCAATGATCAGATACGGAAAAATTTTGCGGGTGGAAGTCCGAAGGAAAAATGGCACTGTCGGGGATTTATAATACCCCTTATGGTAATTATTTTTTGTTTAATGGCTTATTTTACAGTTGCCATTATATATGTTGCTATGATTTGACGGTTTGTTTGCTGTGTGATAATGTTTAAACAATATTTTGCAGTTGCTTCCATTCGAATGTATATCCAGCTTGGGTTGCAATGGGTGGTATAAAGATGTTGAAGAAGCAGATCTGGGGTGTCCTAGGATGTGCAAGAAGTCCGTGAAAGCAAACGTCCGCTGGACCTTTAGTAATGTCATAAAAAAAGATTGGGAAGAAATCAGAGGTATGCCTAAATCACAATATACAATAATTACATAGTCATATAGTCATATAATCACATAGTCACATGACACTATTGGCGATGATCACACGGTGACTATGTTTTATGGTCACATCGTCACATGATCACATGGTCACATGGTTCAGAATGTGTCATAATCACGTGGTCACATAGTCACATGTCATATAGTCACGTGGTCACATGGTCCCATGATTCAGAATGAATACTTATAGTAGCAATGAATCACATTTGTTTTCAGGGTATTAAAAGCATACTGCAGATAGAAAGCGATGAAGAAGCACTTCTTTTTTATTTGGAAGGGTATGAAGGGAGTACAGATGCAAAGGTTCAATTTTGGATGTGACATCTGAAAAAGAACCCGGAAAGCATATGTTGAAAGAAGATTCGCGATGCAGAGCTGCATTGCAGAAAGTCGTCCGAGACGAAAAGGAAGGGTAAGCGCAAAGTATTGATAGACGATGATTCAGAGGAAGTAGATGAAAAAGAAGATGAAGAAGAAGAAGTACAAGAACGAGCGCAACAACAACGACAACAACAACAACACCACCACCACCAACAACAACAGAGGGCTTTTCATCAAGGAGTAACGGGCTGTCACATATAGAAGCACTTAAGGAATCTATACAACTGGAGATAAAAGCGGCTGAGAGCCGAATCATCGATTCTGTTGGAGATATAGTCCGAGGCTTTTCAAGGACGCTGGGCTCCTTTTTGATCCAGTTATAGAGAATACAACAGAGCCCGTAATTTTGAGGACAAGTCCTCGACACAGAGAGGGGTTGAAGACAAGTCCGATAGATGCGGGCAATGTGAGGATGAGCCCGACAGTCATAGAACCAGAGAATGTGACAGCTAAACCGACAAGTCCGATAGATTTTGTTGGGATTGATGAATATTATGATAAGGTAGAGGAAGAAGACTTTATATTGCAGTCTCGAGATGGGACTCCTATGACTGCCTCGCCCAAGAATGCACACAATTGTGGCTGCTATTACTGCACAAGTAGGAAGTAAGTACTGGAATAAAGTTTCGATCACAAGGTAATTAGGTCACATGGTCACAGAATTTAATTTGATTGTATTCATTGTTTTTTGTTTAGGTGATGGTGATAATGATGAAGGTGATAACAAGTCTGAAGGTTATGATGATAAAGATGAAGGTCACAATTCTGAAGGTGACAATGATAATGATGATGGTGACAATTCTAAAGGTGATGAGGATGATCGAGATGAACAAGATGATGATGGGGATGATAAAGATGATGAAGAAGATGATGCTCAAGATGATGAGAAAGATGATGATAAAGATGATGATAAAGATGATGCATCAGATGATGATAAAGCCAATGAGGATGATGTAATCTCTGACAAACCTAACGAAGAGGAAGTAACGCAACCTCAAGCAGAAATCCCCCCAACACCATTGAAAAGGAGTAAAAGGAAAGTTGTTGATGGTCCGACCAAGAGAAGACCCTATGTCGATCCAATATCAAGTGGCCCCCTGCAAAAAGAACCCGATCCCATGCATATCAAGGCAGAGGAAAAGGTAGCGGCAGAGGAAAAGGTAGAGGCACCATCAATACGAGCCAGAAGGATGTTGAAGTTGCTGAGGTCGCTGATGATTCAACCGAGAAAGAGGCTGTTGGAGAAAAGGAGTATATGTAGAATCCCGAGCACATTCACAGTAGTGGTAAGTTCCTTATTCGGATTAAATCTTTTGTTAAATGTGATGGAACAAGGGCCCAAGCTCTATGGGAATTTATGAAGAAGATGGAAGAAAAAAGGTTGTGGAAGTCAGGGTTGAATGTTGAGCGGGAACCAATTTTTTGGGAGACGCTTTTGGAAGTCGGACTATGGCTCACAGAAACTGTAAGTGTACTCGGTCACACGATCACGATCACACAGTCACACAATCATATAGTCACGTGGTCACACGATCACGATCCCACGGTCACAAGGTCACATGGTCACAGAATCTCAAGATTTAATGTTGATTGTATTTACTGACATGTATTGTTTTATTCTGTAGCACATGGATGAGGCGATGTACGAACTCCGAACTCGCGTTATAAAGCATCCCGTGACCTTCATTGGATGCAACTACTTGGTGTGTGACACCGTGTTTGTAGATAAATCAAAACATGGGCCGAATCGGGAGATATGACAACTTTGGGCGATCTACAGCCATACTTCAACGGAAGGCTTCCAATTGGCTGTGCAGGGACACCGTTGATCAGCTACGAGGGATTCGTGAGTGTGCTTAATGTTCTCGGATTTGGCAATGATGAAATCAGCTGCAATTGGATTGACATTAAAGTGGATTTCAGTGAGAAAACTCTGCAAATCTACGATTGCCAAGCCAGACTGCATGAAAAGGCGAAAGAGGTAGTTCAAAAACTCTGCCATGTCGTTCCGAAGGTGTATTGCCTCGCTGGGTCGGAACCTTTCGCTGATGAAGATGTATTGGACATTGAGTATGTGCAGGACATACCCCAAAACAATGGGGAAGAATGCGAGGTTTTCGCAGTGAAGTACATCAAAGCCATTTGCCTTGCCAAAGAGCGGATGCTATTACCGTTGATATGCGATGACAATGTCACGCTGATCCGTGAACAACTAGCAGCAGCAATATTCACTAATGGCAAGCCTCGGAGGTTTAGAAAGAAGAGAGAGTGAACGATTTCTAAACCTTTTTTACGTTTATGTTGTTTTGAACCCTTTTTAAGACTACTTTTGTTTGTTTGACATTATCTTTTTTTATTAGTACTTATGTTTGTTTGGATTAAGTTGAAAAAAAATCTCGGATTCTTAATGTTTTTGTTGGACCTCACGACCCATATTTGGTGGAAAAGAGAACCCTCCACTTGAGGGAGAGGCTTTCCGAAACGAGGCGTTTTGTGTTTTAGGGTTAATACCCTAATGTGTTGGTCATTCGCGAAAAACACGGTGCTCGAGAGAGAGACAGAGGCGAGAATGGAGACGGAGAAGGAGAAAGAGATCTACGCCGACGAAGGAACTTCTCGGCAACGCCGGAGCTCGGGATCGACGGTGGCTCAAGGTAGGTAAGTCGGGGTTGTTAAGACGTCGCGTATTCTGTTCTTTCTCGGTTGTTTCTTGGACACATCGTTGGTGAGTCTTCGAATTTGTGGAGACCACCGTCTTCGGTTGTTTTCTGTCTATTCTATTGGATTCGCCGGCACCGTCCGACCGAGATGTAGGCCCGAGCTCCGCTCGGTAACCGAACTCGTTAAAACTCCGACTGTCTTCTTCTTCCTCACACGTACGAGCGTCAGAGAGATCCGTGAGGGTTCGATACCACCGTCACAAAGTGGTATCAGAGCTCCGGTTTCGATCCAGGGAGTATCGCCGGCAAAGGCGAGGTAAGATTAGGGTTTCTTGGTTTCGGATCTGTCTATGTGAACGTATTGATGCTCTATTTAAGTGTTTCAGTTGACAAACGGAGGCACATTGGCGACGGTGGGAGGTAGTGCTAACACCCTCGGAGTCGCCGGCGGTCAGATCCGTCGAGGTGGAGCATCGGAGGTAAAAAAAAAACTCGGTGAAGACAGCTTCGAACCGAGTTGAGTCAGGTAGGTTTTCTATCCTGACTCGTCATTATTTCCACGTTTTCTCCGATTAGAGTCCGAGTCTCAAATGATACTCGGTGTAACTCGGCGGAGGAGACCTGATTCTGGCGAAACTCGGTCCTGACTCGTCCGAGTTAGGGCTGAGTGGAGGAATCGGGGTGAGTCAACGACCGAGTCCACTCGGTTGACTCGACGGCTAGGGTTTCCGAAATTAGGGTTTTGGATTAAACCGATTCAGACCGCTTTAATCGAACTAATTCTCGGTTTAACCCGGTTTGGGTCAATCGAACCCAGTTCCATTCGATCCAAGTCCGATTCTTGACGGTCAGACCGGGTTCGACCCGGTTCCGTCGGTTCAGACAAGATTCCGACCGGTTCAAGCCGGCTCAGACCCGGTCCCGGTTGGTTCAGACCGGTTCACTCCGGTTCGGTCAAGTCATTGACCAATTTGGTCAACAGTTGATCGGTTTAGGTCAAATCGGATCGGTTCAAGTCCGGTTTGGGGTCATTTGGACCGGTTTAGACCGGTTCAGGTCAATTTCTACAGATTAGGAAATTGAGTCCGGTCTAGGTCAATTCAGGTCTGGTTTAGGTCAATTGAGTCCGGTTTCAGATAATTCAGACTAGTTTAGGCTGGTTTAAATCTTGGTTAGGGTATGATTCGTCTGGGTAGGGATAAAATTGTTCGGTTTAGACCAATAGGGTCTGTTTGGATGTGAATTAAGGCCGGTTTAGACATGTTTAGGTCTAATCTAGGGTCTGTTCATTCAATTAGGCTAGAATTTGTGACCGTTTAGGTCAATTGGGTCCGGTATTAGGTAAGATCATATCGGTTTTTAGGCTTAAAGAGGTCTGTTTAGGATCTGATTTATCTGGGTAGGGCTGGTATTGGTCGTGTTAGGGTCTGAGTTGGTGAGTTTAGGACTAGATTAGATCGGTTTAGGGTCTGGAGTGTGTTGGGTTTCCTGGGATCTCATGAGCGAATCTAATTCCTAAGAGATCGATTCTAGGGTTTGCGCAGCGGATATAAAACAAAAATTTTAATGAAACCCTAGAACCATGCTACTATTGAATCATAGAAACGTTAGAACGCTTACCTCAATCGATCTGGGGCCTGTATCAATTGATCTGTTCGTCCGATCACTCTAGGCAGGAAGAATATCTCGCCCTCTACACGTATCCACACGTCGGGATGGATTCCAACACCTTGGAACTTGTCTGCTAGGACTAGAGATCTCGATCTCTCTTGTGTGCAAGGGTTTTGGAGGCTTAGGGTTTTATTTTTCAAAGCTTAGAATCTAATTCTAAACTGAAAAATATGTATTAATTTTTCTTC